ATAATAAATGTATCCAACAGCAAGTTAAATAAAGTTGTGTAAAAATTTTAAAGCGTTTTATCCGATTTCTGAAGAAAGTTTTGTAAAGTTGAAAAGGCTAGCAGTGCACAGCGAGACCTTTTGTGAAGGTTTTTATTAAAAGCTTTTACCGTCCTAGTAGCTACCGAACATTTTTCATCTTATTTATCAAACCTTGAGTTCAATTTATTAAAGAAAAATGAAGTTTCCTAAATTTGTCAGCCAACGACCAAATTTTTAAAAAAAGAACTAGTAATTTTAAGATTTCCTGTTTTATTTGTCGCCCTCCTGCGTACGGGGTAATGGCTTTGTACTCTTCTCTTTTTTCATGGATTTTGTGTTCTAGTTCTTATGTGTTTCGGAATAAATTTTTGTCATTGTCAATCAATTAATAGTGTGCTTATTCGAATCTATCGTGCCACTCGAATGGAGTTTTCTTGTCAGATTTTTCAGGTGATTTGTGGGTAGCATAGGGCAGCATGATGGAACGATATCCTACCGTTAATCAGACGTGGTCGCATTTTTTTACCAACTCTTACGCCCACCATCCTTTCCTACTAAATTTAAGGTGTGCAATCCCATTCTTTTGGGGAACCAATCCTTTACTCTACCACCCATTGACAACTAGCTCTATCCTTCAAGTGTAAGGGTGGATGCAAGATCGCGCTGGCCATACAAAACTGACATTTGACCTAGGCGATGGGGCCCCAGGTTTCAATTTTGAAATGCGGAACAATTTTGGTAGTTAAGGAAATCTACATACCACTGCTATTGTGAGAAAGAGGGAGCAGAGGACAAAAGGACCATAAAGATGAAATGGCAGATAGTAGTGAATTGTCTTCCAAGGGCAGATACCCATAGACGTTTTCACACCTTTCCGAGCTGGCTTCTTATCACTCCCCCAGTTCGATTTGTTGTTACTCCATAGTAGGGTTCCAGTCCCATCTGGGGGTGTTTGGTGCCGACCTTAACCTGACGATCAGCCTCCTCGTTACCGGCGATTTTACACGATTACTCCTGGATATTTCTTCCATTGTGGCATTAGAAGCTTGGATCTTTTTGCCTTCCGCATCACATGACCCAGTGCACTTGGTGTTGTTAAAAAATCTTCTGGTGATTTTCCTGTGCTTTCCTAGTTCATAATTTTAGTAGTCCTATTTCTTTTACCCCGCTTCAGCGGGCAACTCCTCAAAGGAGGAGAGAATGCAATCAGTGAGCATCAGAGTGAGCATTGTGGCAAGTCGTTCCAGATCCATCACCCTCCTGCTCTATCCTTCGGTTGTTTCTTTGAAAAGTCAAAACTTCTCATAAAATGCCCCATGTGTTATACGACGGTTCGTCAGAGACGCCCCATCTCACTATTCTGCCTGCTAGAAAGGAGGAGAAACAGGTAATATGCAGAAGACACCTCTAAAAAGCTTTATGCGGGTCACTCTGTAATTGGGCGCAAGCCTGTTGAGGGCCCAGAACAAGAGAGGTATAATAAATAAATAAAATAAATAAATATAATGTCTTTTCGGTTCTTGATTACAAATTTTGGCTCATTGCCCTGATTGAGAATGTCTATTGTCTAGTTCCTCTGAGAATCTTTAACCGGCCCGTGTGGCGCAGTCCAGTTGAAGCTGGACTGCGGTACAAGGGGCCCCTAGCTTGAATACGGGTTCGGGAATTGATATTATGTAAATGTATAGTGGGTTGGGTTGGTAGAGCAGCCTTGACTGAAACGACTCCCACTCAAAAATAAAGGCAAAAATAAATAAATAAAATAAATAAATAGAAAATCTAAATAGGACCTCTACGGTTTGTTCCCGTTCCCAGTGGAGGTGATGAGATTTGGCGTCACATCTTTTAAGACGATGCAGCCCCTTCTCCTTGCAGTATCTGCTCAGCACCCGTACGTCCGGTGGCGGAGGAACTGCTACCTCGTTACCTCCGGAAAGTATGCCGAAGCGTACACTATTTTGACAACACCGGTACTCATTGCCGCTTCGACCACCAAATTCGCCAGGTCGTTTGGACCCTGAAAGAGGAAAGGTTAGTTTCGAAGTTTCGAGAAGCGCTTCCTTGGGGCAATTTTTGCCCCTTTCGTAAATCAGGGTCCCTGCAGAATTAGGATAACCCTTGATATAAGAATTACTTACCCATGGTTCTTGTATAATGGCCAAGTCTAGGTTCCCCTGGCGAACCTTATGCACAGTGAAACGTCCCCTGACTCAGGGTGAGCCCTTCCAGTGTCTTTTACTTGTGCAGAAATCTTTTCCTTGCCTTTGGTTGAACCACGACCAGGGCTTGTTCGCGTGGTTGGAGCAGTTAAGCTTTCCCCGACTTCCATTGGAATCATATTGATGGGTTCTCCTTTGAGTGTTTGTGTTCCACCAGAGGCTTCTTTGGGCTTTGAGGGTCTAGTCTCCTCGGTGCGGGTTTGGCCTCATTTGTTTTTTTTCCTGCCTTTCTCTGTCTACGAGTGAACAGAATTTGCCTGAACTTGAAAGCCAATTGCGGATGGTTGTCTAAATAACTGGCGGACGTATTATCGTCCGTTAAGACTTATACTGCGGTGGTATTGTGGACCACGTTGCGGTGAATTTCTTTCCAGGTCTTCTCGTAGTGTCTGCGTTTTGGTTGTGGTCGGCCGAATCTTCTACCTCTCCATGAAAGTGAAATGGCAGTTTGCGATTACCACCAGACGGCTAATTTAAACTGTATCGAGACATCGTTGACTAGCAACCAAGATTTCCCTTGGCCATGCAGTCTTCGGAGTCAGCTGTTCCAACTTGACTTAGATTTTGTTCGCCGTACCTATTGCCTATTCTTCCATTAGAAGTGCTACCAGGGATTAGCATCTTACGTTATTACATATTACAAATGAATGCAGTGCCCCACGTTGGGCGCCAAAATTAATGCTGTGTGGGTAAAACGCCGGTCACAAAATACCACCCCACCAATACTTAGCTAGCTAGCTCACAATTACCATTGGCACAAATAAAAATTCCGACCTTGACTTTAACAGTTAAAATTTTAAAAAACATCTGAGTACCGCAACCAGATTCCGTAAATTCTTACGGAAACGCTGCACAAATTTTAAAATAAATCAAAAATACCATTCGGGTGCAACAAACTCTGACATAAATGAATGAAACCGAACCTGGAACTTAAATCGGAATTCAAATTGAAAGCTAATTCAATGGCAACCTGAGATTACAAAAAATGATTCTTATGCAAAAGAAACACAAGTACAAAGTCGTGTAATAAAAATTCTAAGGCGACATAAAGCCTTTTTGTACACAACCCGTTCACAGAACCGACATAGGTAACAAGCGAAAAATAACAGTTCAAGAGATCTCAAGAAATAGAAAAAATGAGAAGTCACAGTAAGTTCAAACAATATCCAAATTAAGGCAGCCTGTCCACTATTTGAAAAATGCTTTGCATAAGGTTGACACCAGAATAAAAATTGCACTAAAAAATTGCAGGAACAATTGAAATTACACGCTATGACCTTTCAAGAACAGACACGTAATCTCAGCTTAGATCTGGCATTAGTGTGTGGTACGATATTATTGTCACGGCTTTTTAATACTAACGCACTGATAAAAACTTCACATTAGATTTAACGTTTGTAGTATACCGAAATGTAATTCTTTCCCGCAAATGAATTCGAATACTAAGCTAATCTCATACATAGATCCGGTAGGACGTGAAATTCAAATAACTCACTTTGAAAATGTTAGGTAAGGTGTAGGATTTTTGAGTTGGGCAGATTGAAATAAAATTTGCGACTTTAGGATTACCAAATAATCCTATAATTTCACCAAAATTAATGAAGTGCCTAAAACCTCGTCCGAGTGATGTATTGCTTGTGAAATGAGTGTAATCTAACATTTTAAATTTCGTAAACTGACCACCCGATTAATGATTTTAGATAATAGCGTAGCGACTGAATATCGAAATGTGACAGACTTTGTTTCATGCTCTGTCGTTGAAATACCGCGCCATTTCTTTCTATTTACATTTTCAAGCTTTAGTTGTCATAATAACAATAATGGTTTGTATTAATTAGAAATAATTGGTTCCTACACCATAGTCAGTAGGTTAAGGGTCAGATAAGCTACCACTAGCTACCCCTATACACATAATATCTACCAACACAGATTCTACTAGTCGAAACAATTAGCAACATTCGTCTTTGATTGCAAACAAGCACACATCTACTAAAGTGCGTTTTACAGGCTAACAGTTTTTATTGAAGTTGCAGTTTAGCCGAGAGCATGCGCAATAGGCGATTTTCTTGAACGCGAAGGAACCTACGTTTTGGTTCGGATGTGAAATTATTTCACATTCAACTGAAACTGTAAGGCTGTCAACTCTGCGATTGGACATTTAAAGTTCATGTCATTTGATGGTCATTTGTTTTGACGGAGGTAAATGCAGATTATTAAGCGAATTATTTTCTCGTTAAATCCTAGCGATATTTTTTATGTTGGTATTAGCAAAATGTGAATGTGAAAAATAAATATTGCAGAATGTAAAGCGCATGTCACATCAGAAATTTCCAGAATCTTATTTCACTTTCTATTTGATTTGAAATAACCCTTATCATGTAAACCGCGCAGCAACTACTTACCAACGAAAGAAAAAAAGAGGCAAAAGAATTTTCTGCTCAAAGGCACTTTCGGGACGGCACTGTCTGTAAACCGAGTTATAACAGAACTTGCAAATGTTAAATGAAAAAGAATGATCAAAATTACGGCCTAATCTACTAACAGTACGATATCATAAATGTGGCATTGGCATACGTAGCAATCTGAAAATGCACAACATGGCATTTACGACGAAAAAAAAGAAAAAAAAACACATTCACATAAAACACACAATAATCGCATAATAAGGAGAAGTTGTGACTATCCACGTGAAAATCTTAGATGCAACAATTTTTAGCAGCAGTAGAAAACCAAACCCTTAATTTTCTTTACATGTTGCAGGCGACTTTGGCCATCTTAGATAAACTGGACCTGGACTCAGAACGTCCAAGCGATGAGGAAGTAGCGCGAATGTTCGGCTACGAGGAGGCGTATCACAGTGGAACCTTGACAACGTGGCAAAGAATCAAACCGAAAGTTTGGGCCCTGTTCGACGAGCCGTACTCGTCCACAGCTGCAAAGGTAAGTGCCGAAACTTGACGAAACCATCGGCTACTATTATGGTTTCAGGTTGTGGCCGGTATATCTGTGTTCTTCATTTGCGTATCGGTCCTCTCCTTTTGCCTGAAGACTCATCCTGGAATGCGCCTGAAATGCGGTGGTTATAGATTTAGAAATTCCACGGATTTAAACTGCACCGAGCCGCTACCGTTATTCGTAACCATCGAGCACTTCTGTAATGCCTGGTTCACCTTTGAATTAACTGTTAGACTGATTGTAAGTAACCATTGAAATTTTGAAGTTTTTACACAAACAATGCTCTGGAACATTACCCAGACCAAACGGCATTCAATATTTTAATGTCGCGTCTCCGTGAATGAATGAGGTGTCTATCACCCCCATCTCCAAACATCTTTCTTTTCTAGACTGTCGTGTACAAAAATCCTAGTATGAATGATTTACTACAACAGCCCGTTTTTAGCGATGTTCCGAGGGTAGTTTATTTCAATCAAGCCTAGAAAGCTTGATATGCATACAACCGTAATAAGAAACGATACATTTCTCCTCCTATTTATCAAACTAAACGTAGACATCGTTGTTCGGTGCGAGCTATTAGTTTGCTTAGTGAGCCGACAAGTAAAATTATGCAGTCGATATGGTTGCGAACTGCGAGTAATGAATACGTATAGCTAGTGCAACTCGACTGTAAGTACGTGCTATATTGAGCGCGACGATTTTAATAAAACCAATAACTTAGCAAAATTAATAACAGTTCAAGTATGGCATGTTTGAATTCTTCTTTCTGAAAACCCAATAGCCGAAGAAGTAGAGTTTAGGCAGATTCTACTCTAGCACAGTCTTAAAATTTAAAGAATTTTACCAACCTATGTGATGACATTTATTAAAACAGAGCGTATTAATATATTGGTCCTTTTTGGAGCCGAATCAATTTTTTTTTCGCTTTTATTCGCCTTTGAAATATTAAAATAACATATAAAACAACCCTAACTACTTTTGAACAAGAGTCTAGGAAGTGAAACTGTATTCTCCTAACGATAAACCAATGAAAAGTGGCGAATGCTAACAAATCTCGCCACATACAGGCAAATAATTTAAAAATGGTACGTGAAACTCGCTCCTCTACCCTAGATTACTCCAATCTGATAAACCTCTGTAAGAATAAAGGATATGGAGTGATTCAACATATTTGTCTTCTAAAGAAAGTTTCCCAGCGTGGCTTGATTTTTAATCTGTTTCCTAAATAATAATTAATAATTAATTCTTCGTAAAAACCTTTGTATACAGCAATTTCTTTGATGGTGCACAATCTTTACCCCAATTTTCATTTACTAAGAGATTAAACAAAGCATGTTTATAGTGGCAAGGAACAAAAACGCTCATTAAGAGAATAAAACGTGCACAAAGCGCTGTGGTATCTTTGAAATATCCATAACCGTTATATAAAGTAGCACGAGTATTGAGAACGGTTACTGCATCACAAACGTTGAAAAATCTGAATCCTGTCTCTTCGAGCGATAACTCATACACGCTTTTACACAAAAACTCAGATTGGGTAGATACACAAAAAAAGGGCCATTTATAACTATCAGAGGTGGCGATCTAATAGAACAGTTTCTGACTAAATCCAGACTTGCAGCCGACCACTGGCAGTTGGATCGTTTAAATAATGTCAAGCAATCAATAGAGACGCTATATTGAAACTGTCATTTTTTGTTTGTCGACACCATTACAAATAATGAATGTTGTAACCGTAATGTTTTCTCTTTCAAACGTGAGATGTCAGGATTTTTTGTTTTTAAATAAATGGTTTCGGTCTTCGAGAAATAAAATACGAAGCGGAGATATTTTTAGAACACTATCCTTATGTGGGAGATATTAGTATTTTTATAAGGTTCGTCGTTGGGTAACGCGTTCTTTTTCCTGGTTTTCTTTGTACATGTACTCAAACGTAATTTTATAGCTTATTTAATGCTGTAGCCAGATCCCTCGAGTGAGCTCTTCATTTTTAAAATTGTGCAATTCATTTATTAGAGTTCTGGAAACTCCAACCCCTATAAGCTAAAATACAATAATACACATGCCACCCAACAAGCGATCGATTGAAATAAATACCTTACTTACCTTAACGTGTTAATAATCCAAAATATCCGATCCTAACTGCGATTTTCAACAAACAGAATGCACAAACGGGCAAAAAAACTAACTGCTGTTGCTTCTGTAACTTAACTTGTTTAATGTTTACATTTATTGCACTTGAAACTTTACTTAGAAGACACTTGGTTTATTTAAATTACAGATGAAAAAGAACTCCCCTTACAGGTAATTTCGATGACCTTATTAAGGAAAGGCTTCACAAAAGCAAAAAACCCTATAGCAACCACACTTCGGCTAACTTCTTCTTAAACTTCACTTCTTTAACTTGAGTTACACATTCACTTTTATATACATGTATATAATCATAAAAAAATTGCAATAATTGATTTACACAGTAATTCAGTGGAGTACTCGAAACACATGGCTATATCGGATATGACTAAATGGCTAATGGTTTAAATTCTCCTTCAAATTGTAGACTACCTAAGGGTAAAATTTTGAAAATAGCGAAAACTTTGGAGTTGTCCTCGGGGTTGTCATCGTTCTAACTGACCAGAAAGTGTTCTTACTGTTTGTAACTTTTTAATATATCCCTGTGCAATTAGTACACGAATTTCACCAACCTGTATGAAGCACTTTTAACATCTCAGGTGAAACTTTTATTCAAATATCCAAAAGTATTAATTATACGTTCTTCCACCTACATACGTACTATCTCCACCAGCTTAGAAACTTCGTAATTTTTGGAAATTATGATTTGCAGTCGAAGTGGTTTAACATTGAAAAGGAACCCCAAAGGGACAAAAACGCGCATGTTTATATTATCGGAAGCAAGTGACCGCCTTTATTGCCAAAGCGCGAATTCTTCTTTTCTATAGGATCTTCCTGCGAATGGCAAAACGCAAATTCTTCCAAATTCTCCAAAACCAATCCCCCTATTAATTACTGAGCAAAATGTTAAACGCTCACGATAGCGAATTATTTACAAAATGGCGATGTCTACATTTTCTATTGGTTAGTGTCTTTCTATCTACCAATCACAGATGATTTTAATGTTGTATACCAATTCCAAAAACAACGCAATCAGATGTTTTTACAGTGTCTAATTTATTTTGTGCTTAGTTTCTTTTCAAGCGTTTGTTCTTTAATTACTTTAGGAAGCACATAACGCTGCAGTCTCGGTTTCAGATCAGAAATGGGTAACATTGAATTACATTAGGGAACTCATAGTTAGGTCAAAGTCCACGCGTGCCTAGGCCTCAAATTCGGGCCCCTTGTGGTACCTACCGAACGAGAGTCGTCCGAACCCTCAACGTCATCAAGAAACATGTGATCGTTTTTCCCTAACATGAATTGAGGAGTGAGTGAGCCCGATCGCCCTCCTCGCCCAGAATGCGAGAGTGGCCCACCTCGATGATACCTCTGCTATTCAACAACCACTTACTTTTCAGGCGCACGAATGCCAGAGTGGCGTACTCTTTTAGGTGGGGATTCTAGTGGAGACAGACCCAGAAGCGCCTCAATGACGGCTGTGGGAGTTATTCGCATCGCGCCCGTGCAAGCCAGGCACGCAAGTCTTTGTACATGATTAAGGTGTGTTGTGGTTGTGGAAAGTATGGTTCTAGGTCACCAGAAAATTGCTTCATAAAAGAGCATAGTTCTTATCACGGCAGTGTACATCCACAAGACAGCGTTCGGGGATGGCCCCAAAGTTTCCCAATTGCGCGACGACTTTGTCAGAAATACCTATTTGCTTTTTCAGTTTTCTGTCAAGTGTGATTCCTAGAAATTTCACTGACTCTGAAAGTTGGAGGTATTCTTAGAATAACAGGGGAGACTACTACTGATCGATCAAATTTCTTAAATTCCAAAAAGATTACTTACACAAATTTTGAAGACACCTGAAATAAATTTGAGGTACGGATCAAAAAATTAATCACAATTATGCATGAGACCTTTATCTGGATCGTTAAAAGGGTTCGAATAAACATACGATTTACATGAATTCACACAAACAAAAATTATTTTAAATACACCAATCAAATTAATCAAGGTGAAATATAACACGGTTCATTTGCACACTCCGCATAAGGGTTCGATGACAATTAAACAAATTAATGAAATCTTATACTTACAGTTTTCTGTTAAAATCCCAAAAATCCGGACAAAAGCCACAAATTGCGACAGAACAACGTACTTACAAAACGTAACGCACTACACTTGCTTTTCTTTAAGTTATCTACTTTTCGGGTCACAGGAACGTAGGTTTACTCCATCGAATTAGACTGGTTGGCGACCCACCCGGCAGATGAAACGTTGGCCGTTCGAAACAGTAGACGGGAACTTTCTTACACCAACTTCAGTGTTATAAAGTCCCTCTCCTCCTTCCTAAATTAAATTAATTATCTAGTACGTATCAACACGACAACCACAAATGCATTCGTATCACTAATAAATTACATCAACCTTTTAACAAAAGTAATCAAAGTGCCCATAAATTAAAACAGAACTGTTACTTAATTGATAACTTTACGATAAATTACCCTAGATTTAACAATTCTAGGAATTAATCCGAGAATTAATCTTTTACAAGGAAAAATAAACTACTTGAATATAACTACCCACGCAATAATCGTTCCATGTTTACACGCAAAAACTTCACCAGACTAATTAAATAATTTGAAACGAAGATTTGACTAACAATTAAAGAACCGTCATTAATTCAGGCGTCTAGGCCAAACCTCAACGTCCACAACGACATTATTTACATAGCAGTATTTTTTCCCGAAATCATCATGAAACCTTCACTTTTATGCTAATTTTTGGCAGTAAAACCTTTCCTGGCAACTTTTCCTGTCGTCTCTCTCTCCTACCCAGACACCTGTCCTCACTGACACATTATTATTAATCGAATACTCCATATGAAAATTGAAATTTTGCATTTAGAAAGACGATTTCGTGAACAATTTAATACAAAACTCTTCAGTAAAACGACACTACTTGACATTTAATATATCTATCTTAATCGTCATCTACAGTAGTGACGGTCCGCAGGCAATTTCTGTTTCAAAGATAAATTTGACCGGCGAATATTTCGAATTTTATTGATCAGTAAAATCTCGAGGGAAACAAATTTTTATTTCGAAGATGGAACGTAAGCAATATCCACTTAACGGATCGGTCTCACGTTTCAAGATAAAATATTGCCTATTCTTGTCCCATTTTTTTCTTAAGAAGGTTACCATTTAGAACGTTTCGCAGATTTCTAGCCTAAATTAATACCAGGAAACCATTTTTGTTGATCCAGACCTAATTTTAAGTTGAAATTTGATTTAGTTTTATCATAGTCAAGCAGTTCAACGAGAATGGGTCGCATCTATTTATTATGTTCTCACTCTAGCGGGATTGTATATCTGAAATCTGGCAATCTATTTATGTCAACTCTATCAAGATGGTTAAAACATTTCACTAAGACAAAAATTGGAACCTCTCATAATACGTAGCCTATTATTGACATTTAAAGAAAAATTATTTTTGCTTCTAGTTGACAAATGCCATTATGATATTAATGAAGGGAAGTACGAAGGCGAAGACGTTTTGATTCCTCCCATCTGTATGATTCCGAACGACTGAACGATATGTCATTCGACTTTAAACATTTACAATTTCCAGTTCGGCTTGCATTTGGAAATACTGAAAATTAAATAGCAAGGGCAGTGGACGTGTTTGTGAAATCAGTCTGGAAAATCCATGTTTTGCACATGGCCAATTATTTGTCGCCTGTTTCAACTTTATTCAAACTCCAGAAAACAAAACTAACAATGTTGTGTATCAGAAACCATTACAATAAGCACTATAATGTTTTTGAAATAATTTTTTTATTATTATTTCCAGTTCGAATTGAATATTCATAACTGAGACAGAACAACGTCTGTCGGGTCAACTAGTTTAAAATATTAAGATATTTATGTTGACAATTTCCACACAAACTAGTTTGTCTATAAATACCATTATTGTTATTACTATATTATTATGTTCCGAGTTAATAATTGCATTTAAAGAACTAACTTGTATGGCTCACTTATGCGAATAAGTTTTACAGAGCTGGCCGAATAAAGCGCTACTGCTAATATCGATCTTTTACGTCGTACAAAATGAGAGAAATAAGCGTAAAAGTAAATAATTGCATAACAGCCCATATAAATTGAAGTACCTTTGATATATCTGTTGTTGGCATTCCTGTACGTCTACGTGACTTTGTGCTCAAACGTAAAGGCCTTTTATTATATTTTGAAGGAGATGACAAGCCGTTTCAGAATCTTCAAGTATAAGAAACGTAAGGAAAACCATCTGATCCAGAAACCATTTCAGGTATATTTCAAAAACACATTTGCGAAGCTAATGAGAGGTATTCAGATCATTCGTGGAAAAGTTTAGCATTCAGTTAATTTCAACGGCGCAGTTTGGGAAAAGTTTAATTAGTTAGCGTAATATTAGCGTATTCGGGGTTTCCATTTGAAAATTGCTTATGGATGACTTCCACGAGGGAATTCCTTCGTTTTTCGCCCCTATCTAAGAACTGATGTTTTAAAACGTTATAACACCATAACAAGCTCCCCAAAGTCATAATGTGCCCATCAATTTGGTTACATTTACATTAGTTAACAACTTTGGGGATTAGTTCTCCAGCTCCACCGTGCGCTTCATAAATGTAATGTTGTTTTTCTCATTTCAGGTTGCACCCAACGTAATACAATTTATGAAATCGCCGGTGAACGTAATAGATTTTGTAGCAACGTTAAGTTTTTACGTAGATATGAGTTTAAACGTGGATGGTAAATCGGAACTATTGGAGTTCTTTAGCATAATCAGAATACTCAGACTGTTCAAGCTAACGCGACATTCGCCTGGATTGAAGATACTAATACACACCTTCAAGGCGTCCGCGAAGGAGCTCACGTTGCTCGTCTTCTTTCTCGTGCTGGGAATTGTCGTTTTCGCTAGTCTAGTTTACTACGCCGAGAAATTGCAGGTGAGTGTACACTTTACTACTTATTTTACGCCCCGAAGCTAAAATTTTAATTAAGGGATAATGAACGTCGAGGAAAATATAATTTATCACGCACCTCCTAGTTCAGCAATTCAGATTATGATATTTTGGTCTCGTTTAGACCGTGTTAACTTCCTAATTAGATTTATGTTGCAATAACAAATCTCTGGCTTTACGGTTTCCGAAATGCTGGAACCTTCCGTGCATAATGATTCATGCGCACTATGCTCAAATTTAGTATCCTCATGGGAACAGCACCTTTTAATAATTTATCAAGTTTTGGTAATTGCACGTACAGCTTGTGTTTGGAGAGTTTACTGGGTGGTCTGTCTCGGTAGGTTTAAGGATTGTAAAACCCTTTCCAAAAAGTAGACGAAACATTAAAGTGTTGCTGTGGCTGCTTTTCCTCAAATTACGTAAATTCCAAAGAAATCACTACTAAAATTTTAATCGGAAATAACATTCGGATACAAAAAAATTAAAAAATCTTACAGAAAAATACAATTCTACCTGGATTTCGAATTGGGACTCAAATTGACACATAATTATCCCATCAGAGGTCGCGCGGAAAATATTCCACCAGCGGTCGCGCGACGGTCATATTGACCGTATTCTCTGATACAATTGTATTTAATGTTTTATTATACAAAAATACATATAAATGGTTAATTTACTAAAATACATACCTATTAAATTTACCTACTCACTATCCACTTCCATGTTACCAGAATCTTCCACACAGTTTGTGCAAAAGTTAATAGTATGTCCCCTACAAAATAATGTGTTTGAGACACGATTTACATTTGTAAATTTGTAAAGATGTCTTCCTATTTTTTTTATAAGAGCAGACGTAACATCTTTCGCACGAATCTAACAGACTTTTTAAAAAAACTCACTTTTAATACGCCAAAACTGGCTCGTCGACGAAAAACGTTTAAATTTATAACTGTTCGGATGGTAACACTTTTGTTGTCTTTCGAGTTAACTCTTGTATATTATTAATTTTTTCTATTTAAGACAGAAACCGCTTCCACTAATAAATTCAATTATGTTTGTTCTACGGTGTTACTCAAAATTCCGCTTCGTCGCTCGAATCGATCAACACGTGCGTTGCTTATCTCACACGTGGCATTGTTTATCGCAAAACCATTTAATTTTTGACCGATTAACTGTTTATTGACAGCTGGACAAATATAACGTTTAACATGACACAATCGCACCCAGCTACATTCAGGAAACATCAAATCAAGCTGGGACCGCTGCGGGCAGGGCGGAAAACAAATATATAAATCTAATTCAAGATTTTGAGATTGTTGGTTTTGCGGTGGAAACCCTAGGTCCGTGCGGCACGGATGCTAGATGTTTTGTGAAGAATCTTGGCCGGCTTTTGGTTGTTCGACAATCGAAGGTCTACTTTATTCAACCAATAAGTCGTGCCATCCATCGGGGAAACGCCGTAAATATTATGGGCAATTTTGAAAAGTGTGAGAATTATAACCTTTTGTATGTTTAATTGTTATTACGTTAAGTAGCGAAATGGGAATATAACCGTATTTAAACCCTAAAAAAATGTTCCCTTATCTCCCTTATCTTCAATTTTTAGCGCATTTTTGCAAAAATTTTTTTTGTAAAAAGTAGCTTTTAATCTCACTTTGGCTGG